TGTCCCAGCTGTACCAGCTGTACCAGCTGAAGAAGTACTTGGTGATGATGAACTGGGTTGTGTAATACTGGGAGGAACTGGTCCTTGAGTCCAATGAATTAAATTATGAGCAGGAAGCTTCGAAGCTTGATAATGTTCTTTCAACAGCATTTGAGAAAAATGCACGTGTTGTTGATAAGCTTCACCCTCTCTGTGTGGATCACCACAAATTTGGTAAAGATCTTTTAATATTGCCGAAGCCCATAATTGAACATGAATATCCGGTATTTTGCTTGCTAATTGCATGGCCGGTGAAACCATATTCATACTTTCACGATGATTTCGTAATGAAAGAAATACATGTCCCAATAACACTAAACAGCAGGATGTTAATCGATTCATATCTTCTGCATTTGCCATTTTTAAAGTTTCTCTTAAAAATCTTCTAGAAATTATATAAATACAAACTCTATATGTTGTAATACACAAACTCTATATGTTGTGAAAAAAACTTACTTTGCGTCATTAAATCTCATTTCAAAAAATGCTTGGAGCCCTTGAACATAATAAGCAGCTGCTCGTAAACTTTGCGAAATTGATGGTAAATTATCCGGAAGAATCCGATCTAATATATTATTTAATTCCGATTCGCGTTTATTTCTTAAAAAAATGATGGCTAAGTTAAGATTTCCAAATGTGAATAAATCTCGACTTTGGGCGGTCTAAAAATGAAGATACATAAAAAAAGTTGATGTAATTTTAATAAACCTACAGATAAGACGATGTTAAATTGAGCTTCAGCGGCTTCAAAACAGTTCATATTCATCGAATATAACCCGAGAAGTGCGTGTAGTTGAGTACTATGCGTGTCAAGTAATTTTGGATTATCTTTGCAAATCGTGGCGCACGTTGAAATTTCTTGGATTGCCATCGTTTTATTACCCATAACTAAACGGCACATAATCATATGTTCAAGTAGGTTTATGTGAAATACTGATAAAATCGATTTATTATCACTAACTAAAAAAAGAAAATAATTAGATCTTAGAAGTTTGAAATGTTTAAAATACATTACTGTTGAAATGGCATTAATGTTATAGGAGTTATGTAAAACAGAAGTTAATGTATGTTAAAGAAGAAGAAGGAAATTTAATAAAAGATGTATGTAAGAAGACCTCTTCAAAAAGTCTTAAAGAAAACAAAAATCTTGAATTTTAACGAGAAAAACAAGCTGAAACCATGTGAATGGTGTATCGCTGGAAAACATGTGCAAACAAAATTTCCTTCATCTACATATTCATCTACTATATTCCAAATAAAAGAAACGTAATATTCAGTAGAAACGTAAAATTAAAAAAAAAAACGTACAATTTTTTGTAAAAACATTCCCAAATCATTAGTGAAAATATAAATCAAGAAAAAATAGAAAATACACCATTAAATCCAGTATTAAACCCAGAAGATCCAATAAACTTAAATCAAAATGAAAAGTGTGAAAAAGAAACTACAGAAAAAGAAATTGAATTGAAAATAAGAAGAGGTAGACCTACATTAGAAAAAAACTAGTAAAAAAGGTAGACCAAGAAAAATGTAC